TGGTATCTGGTCGAGACTTTCACCATCTTGAGGTCTAACCGCTGTGTTGTCGTCGATCAATGCGTAAGCCCGTACTGCGTTTGGAATATAGTGTGACACACTTCTGCAACGCAGCCTCTTACAGGTATCTTTTCCACAACTCGTGAGAGTAGACGGTGAAAGCGAGTGCAGGAGCTGCAGAGGAACTCGTACGGCTCTGAGCCCTTCAGCTCGATCAGCTTGTTCAGCAGGTGTACAGTGCGACCACATACCCGATGCTTGTTGTATCTCGAAACTCTGCGCCAGGCATGAGTAGTAAGTCTGCAGGGCAACTGGTATAAAGTAATCGTTTACCACCGTTTGAGCAGGTGTTTATTGAGACTACCATGGAAAATCTCGGTTCCACTGCTGGTTCGACCTCCGGTCCCGTCGTTGAAGCATGGCGCGCATCTAGATCGGAAGTTGGTGACGTCGCGCCATCCGCCTCGCTCCACCGACTCCAAGAAAGCTGACACTTGGGTGTCTTCACACCCAATGATGAACGGGATGAAGAGGAGATCTATGATGACGGAGAGGTCAGCCACAGATTAAGGTCGATCTACTGCATCTAAGTCATGATTTACTGGCTAACCTAAGGAGTGGGCCTGAGCTACGACTCGTATGTCTTGAAGCACTTCATTCCAGCGTATCAACGAGTGATCTTGGAACTTGATCTTCTTGCAGGACTACATAAAGTGGAAGTAGCAAGGCGTAACCGCAGCATTTGGAAAGAACGACGACGTTTCCCCGTGCAGTGCCTCAGATATATCTTGAATGACAGGTGAGATTTGGGGCAAGTCGGATACTCCCAACTCATTGAGCAGGTTCTGTACTGCCTCGATGCTTCTACGACTCTCGGTTGAGACGAGTTCCAATAGGGTGGGGTGTGCCGCGCCCTAATCCGTTATACCGACAAGGTTAAATACAACAATCTCTGCAGCCACTATATTGAAGGTAACATCTGCTGCTCCAGTGCTACTTTTCATATAGTTATTGACCATAGCTGAGAAGGTAAGTCCCATCGAGAGATCGATTAGTTTCCCTCTTGCGTCGATGCTGATCGCTGGATTCTAACAGCTAGGGCAAAGCAGATTGCGTTGCCCATGCCATGGGCCCCATGGTAGGATTGGTGTGGTTCATAGGTCATAGGCTGTTCATAACTGCCTGTCACACAAGAGCAACTCACGAAAAGCTGCCAGACAAGTCGAACCACAAGGCGGTGGTCGCTGTGGACGGACCCACAGACTGTGACTTACGACATTTCAGTCAGCGTCATCCATTAGGGCTGAGAACGTCTAGCAACGAATGCAATCCAAATATCTCAGCGGACTTACCTTGGAAAAATCGTTGAAGACAAACTCTAACCCTGCCTCCCTTCCATCTCATCCTCGTTAGAAACCCAACAAAAAGCGAGCTCACAAGATACAGAAACTCACGGTTGTCAGATGCCGGGATCTACTCGACTCCAATCACCCTCCGAGACTAGAGCTTCTCACGTCTCTCTCTCCCAGAGTGGTCTCGCATGTAATGATTGGCCACAGTACTGGTATCACTCCAGCGGCCATACTCAGCGATCGCTTCTAAGGATATATCTGCTTGACTCATCAAGAAGACACCGGTTCCTTGCATGCTATACGACGTTTTCCTGCCAATTTCTTATCGGTTAACTTCGGAACCACTCATCACAGTTTCAACAAGGAATGTAACATCCTTAGAGAGTTGAGTATACACCCCTCCACATCCTTCGACATAACCCAAAGTAATGACAGGACGTAGGTGGTCATGTTGGTTGACGGGGGGCAATTTGGGTGTTTCAATGGTGCCCTATGACCAAAATCCTAAGGTGCTTCAGTTATATGCTGAGAATATGTGGAGGATCCCAAGTGCGTCGAGTGCGTCAGAGTAGCGGTAGAATGGGAGTCTGAAACCTTGCCAGGTTAGTGATAGTGTTACTAAAGCTATCACATTCAAATATCAGGGTGAAACTCGACTTCTTTGATGAATTATGAGCTGCACACCATGTATGCTAAGAATATGTGGAGGGGTGTAGGAGGATCCGAATAGTCTAGGCTGGGAGTCTCCCCTCTCTGGTGGAGCTTTGCCCAAAGTCGGTGATAGGCACAAAATAGACTGTCGCACGAGGTTGATCCGAGACCGTTAACACAACCAACCACTATAGTCTCTCCGGTTCCGCTTTGACAGTCTTGGTCCAAGACTCTTGGACTGACGTATATTTATGCGGAGGGAACAATCAGACTCGTTAAACATAAGGTCATCATTGCGGAGAGCTACAACCTCCTTCAGACGGAGGAGAGCCATAACACCTGTCAGGTAGGCAAGAACATTCTCCTCTCTCCCTGATGGCGGAACTAATCCCAGCAATTGTCGCAGCTTCCCTATCGTTAATTTTTTTTTGTCCTTTTCTTCTTTCCATTCCGGAGGAGGCATTTTGCCGCATTTAGTGCCAGCCGATCCTTTTTCTTGTCAGCATTAGACAGTAGAGTGATCTCATACAGTCTTGATTCCACCGTCACTTTTCCAG